GATAGCAGAGGAAGCAATAGCTTCTTTGCTATCTGCAAGTTTCTTTTTTAGTATTCTGACAGCTGCTGCCGTAACAATAAAAAAAAATCAGCATAGGAATGCATAGTTAGATTCCTATTGGCTATTTAAATTTACAATATCCAACAGCAAGCTGGCTATTGCATCTGCCCTCTGCTGCTGTCAAACACTAGAAGGGGACCTGATGGAGAACTTCAGGTCCCCTCTGCTGATTGACAGCAGCAGTGGGCGGGTGCAATAGATATTTTGCTATTGGCTGAACCGAAGGGGTCCTGGGGCCGAAGCTAGCCGAAGGATCAGCCGATGCTACGGCTAGATCCTCCGGCAGCTTTGTGAATAGACTCAATAGCCTCCAGCATCCATACAGTAAGTTTGCTAAGAAGCGTGGTTTGCTCTCAAGTGCAAGTTTCAATTTTTTGGGGTCTATCTGACTGCTGTCAGCGATTTTACATACACATCTCATGCTGTAAAATGAACACCATAGTCCAGGCTGCGCTGGGTGTGCATTCGCCCAATGTGGCCACGGAAAGCAGGCATACAAAATGTTATGTGCTGTTGCCTCTGAACAGGTTTCCAATACTAAATATCAATACACACACTGGCTTTTTTACTTTGACTGCGTGATATAAGGATGACAAGCGCATTCTCTAGTGGACCTTATCAGAACAGAATAAAAACAAGTGGCATTATTTGGATGCTCAATGTGCATGGCTACCTACATACTACATAGGAGAAAAAAATTATGTTTGCTATGCAAGTGTACATCCACATTCTCTTGCATGCCTGGAATGCATGCCATAGATATTTATGCCAGTGTTTTTGCCTATTTACTTTAGCAAATCAGGACCAGTGTGTTAGCAAATTATTCCAGAAAGTCTAAAAAGACAGCCCAGCAGCAGCTACTCACCTGTAGACTGTCTTTATCTAATTTTGACATTCCATACAGACCTTTATGAACTAGAGACAAGGAGGAGGGAGGCGTCCCTCCTCTGACACATTCAGCTGTGTGTTGTGAATAGAAGTGTATTTTTGTTTTTGTTTTGTTATGTATGTTTAAGAATGTTCTAATTTCCTATTATTTTTTGTTTTTTTATGATTTGATGTGTGATTTCTTATAGGTTTAATGGCACAGGTGCAGTTTTTTTATAAGCACTTTATTCTTTAAATAGGTATTGATTGATGGGTTTTAATTACCCATCTCTTGTTTGAGGCACTAACAGGTGGGTATCAGTAATTTGTAGAAGAGAAGAAGATATGTTATATAACATATTTTTCTTTTTTTAATTATATTTATTTATTGAATATATTATGATGATGAAATGTTGATATGTGACAGTTGCCCAGGAGAAAGTCTGTTGGCTAAATGTTGATGTTGAATTATAATATGTAAAACTTTAAATAAAGAATTTAAAAAAAAGAATAGAAGTGAACAGGTGATCAGATTAAACTCTCTTTACAGCATAAACTTGCAAATAGCAGTTACCCAACTCTAGAGCTTCCCCTGCTGATAAAACCTGGTAAATATGAAACATTTATATACAATATTTCATACTTATCTGACGAGAGCAAAATATAAAATAATAGCTTTAGTCCTGAACTATATAAACAAATGAAAATATGTGCAAAACACTGTACATTCCATAAATCACTTAAATCACATACATTTCACACTGATTAATTATTTCTAAATCTTGTGTTCTGTCTGCCGTCCTCCTTTATGAATGATGGGGTAAAGAAGTCTCTTTAGAATGCATTCATTTGACAAACTCTGGGTTCTGTTGTGAATCAAAATCCAGCTTTTTACACATATTCTTTAATGAGGGTCTTCCCTTTTATAAAAAGAGACATTTCATCTGTCAGAAACATCTTTCAACATAGAGGCTGCCAAGCGGAGGGGGGTTTTTTCCCCGTGTCTGCAGGTTACTGTAGGAAAATGTTGCTACGTCTCTAAATTTAAACGCCGTATTTAATGGGTAAAGTATGCTTCACTTAAAAGGGGAAAAAAAGAAAAGTTTGCTATTTATGTGAGATCAATGTGTTATCTATTTCAGTAGAATAATAACTTCATTGACAACTGCAAATTTCTTTGACAACCGCCTTACGTTATCCTAGTACAACATGAAACTAGATTGCCTCTGTTTACAGTAAATGTTGTAATGGGTAGTCTGTTGTTTCAGAACGTACTATGACAATGTACTATTTGCAGCTACTTTATGCAGCTTTGCCAATAATGGTTCCAGACCATTTGCAGGACTGTACATCATGATGTTGGGGAGTGCAGGCATCTATGGGATCAGATACAAAGCACAGCAATTCACTAGCAGTGCAGTTTGGAATGCCCACCTCCTCCCCAAACTAGGCTACAGTTTCGACTGGTACCATCTGATTTTGGCTGGGAGTCAAGGTGGAGGGGAGTTAAGTGTTATGGCTTTTTTAGGCAGATGTAAATATGTGTTGTGTATGCAGTGTGGGAATGGAGTAAAGCTTCACTTTATCCCAACCTTGTACATTTGTCATATGACGTTTCAAATAAGCTGATAGCCCTTGAATGCTTTTGTGGAGGAGGTATGCAAGGACACGGTACATATATGTATGTCACTATCTATGCTTAGACTCAATGTATGAAATAGTGCTTGTACATGAAACTATGTTTAACTAATATGGCTTATGACAGATTGTATGTCTATGGACTACTCTTATGCACCCATCCATAAAACAATTGATCTTGGGGAAGGAACTGGTTGATCACAATGGACTGTCCTAGCAGTGCTGTTGCCCTAAGATAAAGTGGTCATCATAGGTGTCCCTACTGGTTCAAGCATGCATGGTTATGCCACAGTCATGAGTTCTAAACACCAGATCATGTGCCTAGCTAGCTTTAGGCCCTGCCATTTTTTTTAGGTGTGGATAGACTGTGGACAAGTTAGAATCTTTGTCAACTTTGTTGATTGTTTTTATTGCTCTCAGTGTCCCTGTTCAGTTAATATCTCCTCATATCCTATTTGATGAGTGTTTGACAGAACAGGCCGAGAGTGGAAATCCCCAAACTAGAAAAATTTAATAAAAGAGTACAGTAGAGAAGTTTTAGAATTTGAAGGGGAAATTTATTCAACATGGACACATTTAAAATTCAAGTGAAATATCTACTTACTGGGGACAGAATTTTAAACTTGTCAGATATGGTGGTAGGAGACTATGGAGCCAATTGTAGAGTTGTGTCAAAATCAAGATATAGACAGTATTGATGCATACAAGGGCTCTGGTTGGCAGCTCATGGACATGAAAGTTCTTCTAGGGGGTGCTTTGCGTGAAAGCCAAAAGGTACAGGAAACAAACAGAGAAACCAGATCAAACGTTATGAGACCCTGAAGAGTTTATTTTATTATAAAACTTCAAAAGGACAATCCAAGCATTGCCAAGGGTTCTATTGTGCCCCCCACAACAGGGCATATCATTGCTGGTAAGAATCATCATGCTTTTCGAATTAAATGGGTTACAAATTATAAACATTACAATTTCAGTATTAAGAGCAGGTTCCAGCAGCTGATTGCTTTTGAGGCAATTAACTCATTTGCAAGACATTAAAATCAATGTGCTGTAAATATGAAGATATCCAACAAAGGGGTCAAGTAGGTTGCTAAAGTGCGAGATTAAAGTCTTTTTAAAAATGCTTACCAGGTCTTGGTATTCCCTAACTGCTGCCTAATTAAAATGCAGATACTAGTATTGTTTTCATGTTTCTTGTATATATGTATTAAGTTTTGGAAAATATTTTTTTATGAAATACTAAATATTGCCAAGCAGAAATTCAGCTAAATAGCGGGGAGATTAGAATACCTACACTTCAGAATTACTTAAATTGAAAGGACAAACCATTTCTCTACCCTTCTTGCAGAGTTAATGCAAATTTAAAAATAAACATAATTCAGAACAGAAGCAGGTAACTTGCCTTAACCAGGAATGCAAATAATTATTTTCTGAAACGTATCTTTTGTATAAGCTGAGACATACAGGGCTATTCACAAAAGGGTGAAGAGTTTGGAGAAGACAGGAGAAGTGAACAATCTAGGGCAAAATAGCTGATTTGGAAAAATTCTCCAATTCAGCTCACTTTCCAGTTCAGCTATGTTGTCCTAGATTGTTCACTTCTCCTGCCTTCTCCAAGCTCTTCAACCTTTTGTGAATAGCCCTGATAAGCCTCATGTGAAGGTACTGCTTATAGGTTGCTCAAAATTTAACTTCACCTTTATAATGAAGCATTGCTGTAACTTTTTAATATCACCACCAGTCCATTGGATCTAGCTTTCAATTAACGGCAGAGCAGGAAATATACCACTGCAGTACCCGACAACACCGTGCCAGTGTCCATTACCACCAGGGCAAAGAATAATGATGATAGGCTAAATGTAGCTTCCCAACCATATCACAATTTGTAGAAACTTTACTATAATTACGCAAGACATAGAAATAAACTCATTTTTGCATTTGTATTTCTCTATTTCTCTCTCTCTGACAAAATATAAATACTGTAATTTTCAAAATTCACAAATCACATTAAATCTCAGTTTTCCCTTTTACTTTTTCTTAGTCAAATTATGCATTTTCATCTTTGATATGAGATTATTCACCTGAAGTTACCCCTTCTGTGTGGTCTGGTTTTATTGAATCCCTCCTGGTAAACATAAATATTAATTTTTCTTTGCTCAGTGGTCTAAATGCATTACAAAACAAAATGAAACCATTCAGAAATGGAATATTGCTGGATGAATGCTTTAGCCATTACAGTAAATCTTTGATGGGTCTCAGTCTTACAAGTTCTGTGTCTGAATATAATTACAACTGAAGTAAAAAAAAAAAAGATTTTCTTATTCTAGGAGTTTGCATGGTAAAAAGATCTTATTAAAATTGGCCAAAGTGGTATGTATTTTGTCTGCTACCTATGTATAAAGGGACTATTATTTACCTTTTTTTTCTCAAAACAGGTGTGCACTGAAGGCCGTCTCATCCTGGAGTTCACATTCGACGATCTCATGAGAATAAAGACATGGCACTTTACCATTAGACAATACAGAGAATTAGTACCTCGCAGCATTTTAGCCATGCATGTAAGTACAAAGACCTTTTCCACAATCAGTATTGAGCCTATTCAGAAAGGTTTGAAATGGTTAGTTAGCCGTTTTTTTGCACCATTTTTCCATTTCCCAACAATTTACAAAAACTGGCTTAAAGGATAAGTGCACTTTAAAACAAAGTGCATTCATCCTTTTTGCCTGCTTCCTCCACCTAACTTAACATACCCTCCCCCTCCACAGATGCATACTTACTTTGATCCAACGGCAAGAGTTGTGCTGTTTGTTTACATCCAGCATGACAAATCTTTACTGTCTTATCTGCGCCTGTGCATTACAGCTCCTTAGACTTCTATGGCTGAAGACGATTTAAGTAAGTCCCAAGAAGTCTATGAGGCTGTAATTCTCAGGCGTGGCCAGGACAGCCATGAATTGTAGCACTGCATCTAAATAAATGGGAACTGTGGCCATCGGATCAAGGTAAGTATGCATCTGTGGAAGGTGAGGTCAGGAGAAGGCAGCAAAAAAGGATAAGCGTACTTTGTTTTAAGGTGCACTTATCCTTTAAGAGTTGAGTTCTACAGATTTTACCTTTTTAAACTTTGGTATTCAGACTTTTTCTCTTCGTGGAAAATAAATCTTGAAAACTTGAATCACTAATACAGATAGTTGAACTCCTCCACAGTGTAACTTTAAAAAAACATTCTATCTTGCAATGTTTCCAATGACAAATCAGTTGATTCTCGAGTCACATTGTGGGAAGCCCATGAAACCACCCTGAGTGGGGTATTGATTCAGCAGGCTTCCCAGTGGAAAAAATATATTGGTAACTTTAACAATATCAGGTCACTTTGAGTTATCGTTTTTGATCTGAGTGGAGCACCACAGTCCCCACTACATCTTTGCGCACCTCCTTTCTCCATTTCCCACTCTCTTTCCTTCCCTGCCATGGACCCTATCACCACTCCCCATCCCACCTTTATTTACTTCAGCTATTTTTGGTTCCTTTCATTGCTCCTAACTCTATTTTAGGGTTATACAGAATAACCTTTTCTCTCCATAACAATCCAGAACCTTAACACTGTTGACATTCTTGTTTCATCATTCTGTAAACATTTTTATTGCATAATGAACAGGATGTTATACGTACGAAATATAAAATGAAAAACCCAATAAAAATATGCTTTGCCCATTTAGGAAATCCAGAAAATGCTTGTATGTGTCTTTTATAGCTGTAGTGTTGATAGGCCGGGAGCAGAAGTAAGGTGCAAGCTTACGAACACACAAAACTATCAAATCAGTTTTTAGATAATAACAGGGTTCATCATTAGGTTTAACATACACTTTTAAGCTAGTCAAACATATAAGGATTCCTCTCATTCAGCCCAGCGGGCTGAGCAAAAGAAATCACTGGATTCCCCCATCCATGCTAAACTGCGTGGATTAAGGATTTTCCCATGTTGGCTATTGTATTCTAGCAAAACAAATGGCAAATGCACTCATCAATTTGTTACCAGCTTTACAGCAATGTGCACATGGAAGGGCCTAATACAGTACAAACAGCAAAAAGTTTTCCTAGCACTCACAAGCCAGCATGCAAAAAAACTTGTCTCACCGCTAAGGTTTAAAACAGAGGTTTAGATACACGTCTTCTGCAGAAAATGTGAAAGACGCACAGCCGCGTCAAGGCACCTCTAAATAGTGCGGTCCTAACTCTAAACTATGAGAGTCTCCATCTTGGAGCACATATGGCAAAAGATCAAATTAGGTTTGTCAGGAGGAAGCCCAACCTCCCTTAAAGGCACAAGGGATCCCGCACATCACCATATGTGCTCCAAGATGTATCTAAACCTCTGTTTTTAACCTTAGCACTGAGACAAGTTTTTTTGCATGATGGCTTGTGAATGTGCTGGGAAAACTTTTTGGTGTTTGGGCTATTGTATTCTGACATCCGGCACTTGCAGCTATCACTATACCGGAATAGTGACTGCAGTTGATATGCTATAGTACTGTGCTCGCACTGCCGAGCTCTATACACATGCTTTTGCAGATAAAAATAGACAGGAAACAAGTAAAAAAAAGCCTGGTTGGTTAAAAATAACAATACAAAATATTCATATGCATACATTTTATAATTACCTGACTGAATAAAAAAATTGGAATGGAATTAGCACAGACCATAATAAAGAAAGAAAAAATACAAAACTACTTTTTGGTAAAAGATGTATGTCAGTGGAGGTGGAAAGGAAGACTGAGTAGACACCAGCTTGATCCCATGGAAAAGAATAGCAAATAGCTAAAACAATCAATATACTTTGTCGTTATTCCTAGACCAACAATGGGTGTCTGCGATAAGTTGGAGCTACAGTCATGTCTTAGGGTACAGCCTGAGGTAGTCTATACAGGTGTGTTTTTCCTATTTCCTTGTAATTTATGGGCAAATAAGTCTTCAGACTTCTTAATAAAGTAAGGGCCCATTCAATCCCTCAAAGATGTCCACTGCTTTACAAGTACAGTGTCAATTAAATGAAACGTGTCAGTGCAATTGTATTATTATTATTTAATGTATTTTGGTGTTTATATTGGAAAATGTTCTGTATATTACACAAATATTGAATTTATGTATTCAGAGATTATACTTGAGCCAAGACCAATAACCAAAGCCAGTATAATTTGTATATTGTTAATATAAAAAGCATTAAAGCAGACCTTGTACATAAAACTATCATCTATCCCCTTATGTAAAATCACTAGGTCTACACAAAAGAAAAAAAAGAACAACATTAGCAATAAAAAGTAAGTTACTTACCTTAGTCAATGCAGGTTCTGGCCCATTTTCTTAGGTACCAGTAATGTTATGTAGCCTTCTTGTAGCTTTTTGGGCAACCTGAGTTAGTTAGTTGTGATACAGTAATCCAAAGTCTCTAGCTTGAACCTTAGTTTTTTTCAGAAAAAAATTGTATTATTGCATTCCTGTATTTTGCTGTATAATAATACTTTTCATTATTTCAATTTGTGGTATTTCTTCTTTGTATACAGGCGCCAGACCCCCAGGTCCTGGAGCAACTTTCCAAAAACATCACTAGAATGGGCCTAACCAATTTCACCCTCAACTACCTCAGGGTAAGTGGCCATGTACTGAGAATACCTAGTAGGGACAGTAAACAAAAGCCACAGCCAAATGTATTAAGCTAACATTATCAAATATGATATATATTGAATTACAGGAACACTAATAATTCATTTTAACTTTATTTGGATAGATTTCACTTTCTAGCTCCACAGTCGCAAAATAAATTAAAACAAGGCTAGAAAATAATTGAAGTTAACTAATATAATACGTCTCTAAGATTTTGTATCCTGTTCAATAACTCTCCTATTCCCTGCAAATTTGTATTTCTGAGTCTAAAAAAAGCCTGGAAAACTTACAGTAAAAGAGATTGCCAGCTTTAAAGTGACACTAAACTCAGGAGTTAAATCATAAAAATGCATTCAAGTACCTTAACTATTAACAAACATGTTTTTTATTAGTGTATCACTCAGCTGTGGATCCCTAAATTGTCTCTGAATTGGTGCCAACACTGTCCTTCCTTCTGGAGGGTGGCTACTTTTGTTCCCCATGGTCCCTGTGTGTGTTGTAAAGTAGTCACCACTCCAACCTCACTCCGGTGATGGACTACAATCTCACATTTAGTTTACTAATATGTATTGAGATGGTAGTCCATCACGGGAGTGAGCTTGGAGTGGTGGCTACTTTAGTACTTAGGGTACTTGAATGCATTTTTAAGATTTAACTCCTCAGTTTAGTATCACTTTAAATATGGTCTTACAACAAAGAATCCTAACCACTGGAGTTTTCAAAAGATCTAAGCTGGACGGTGGCTCATTGATGACACAAAATAAAATATTGGTTTCATGTGGTGTTGGCCATTTGAGAGAATTTATTTGAACAAACGTCTGCGAAAATATGAAAATGTTGACCTGTGCCACCCTGCCCAAAAGCCATCACTTCAGGCAATTTTTCTCTTCTTGATACTTATTTAATAAGCTTATAGTAATCAGATACTACTTCCAGTAGGCACATGGCAGTTGCAGTGAAGCTGAACACTGTCCTAACTGAGAGCACAGACCTGTGGTGTGTAATTTAAATGCCTGTCCACCTAAAGGGCAGTCCCCAATTAACTTGAATCAGAATTTTTCCTGACGTACTTCCTGCAAAATACGCGGAGCAGGGCAGAAAAAGGTCAGCCTAAGTGCAAAATCTCAGAGATCTGATTTGTACTTCTTTACTAAGTAAATGAGTGACAGCTCATTTACAGCAAATGAAAGGATGATTTTCATGCATCATATTAGTTCATATTTTCCTGACTTAGATCTACACAACCATTGCATACTAAGAAGTAAGACTTACTATGTTAAGGATCACAAATTCCAGTCCTGCAGCTAGAAGGAAGAGGCCACCTCAAAAAGCCCTTTATTACGTAATCCCTGGCAGACCTACCTACTGATGCCAATGTTTGAAACATTTATTTTTCAAATTGTCTACTTTTTCAGCATATTTTTCTTTTACTACTTACTAGTTTTCCTAATGACTTTTATCTACAAAGGTTGGAATAAGTTTAGTAGTGAATAGATTTAAACATATAAAATGCCAAAATTACAGTCACTGTCCATGGTGATGTAAAACACATTAGTTGAAGTAAGTACCAAAGTCATACATATGATCTGATCATTGGTCTAAATCACAGAAACCATTATGAAGTATGTTTCAGAGAAAATGTTGTGCCAATTTTTTGGAGCTGTAAAATTAATTGTTTTCCTTTGCCTCTGGACAGTCCAGTAAACATCAGGAAGGTTGGGTGAACGCTATGGCTCAGCATTCAACACTGTGTGCCAAAAAAACTGCTGCATGTAGAAAGCTGAGCTATAGTAGTGATGGATGCACCCAGTGGTCCTGTCACATGGAGTAGATAAAGTACCTTCCTTATTATTGTAACAGAACCCCAGAAACAGAAAACTATAAAAAGGAAAAATGTATGCTGTTATTAATTTTTTAATAAAATACACATGAAAGCTAAAAACATCAGACGCTGAAAAAAGCCAGTAAGTAATCTTATAATACTGCCATGGACATTAAGTACCTTCAACTGACCTTTACTTGGAGTTTTGAAACTCCAATGTAGATAAATATAGAAGACCTCTCACAGGGCTTTTGGGGGAGGACTAAAGCAGTTTTCAAAGTTCACACTCAAAATGGAAGTTGCAAAAATGTTTAGATGCTGCAGGTAGGGGCTGCAATGTTAGATATGCTCTGGGGTTTGGGTATAGCCATAACCAAAACGGAACACATATGCTGAGAAAGACAACAGGGTTTCTACTTTTTACTTTCCTGCCACCAATTTGCTCACAAAACATTTTCATCCCATTTGCCATTATCACACCACAAGGGAAGTCTCCTGTGTATTCAGAAAATAAAGCATCTGAAAACCCTTGGATCTTGGTGTTGCACTATCAGATCTGTTTTAACCACAAGAAGCAGTTGTTACAGTAATAGAACACAGCTTCTGGGGAATGTTAAAAGGTTTTGTGTTTGGAGATCACATAAATGTTGCAACAATCTATATACAGCACAGAATATTTCTGTTTTGTAACTATTTGGTAATGCAGTTACTCATGAGCAACTCATTTAGAAACTACATCTCCCACATTCCTATCATATTCATAGAGGACCTCAAAGATAGTCTTGTCACAGTTCAGAGTATCTGAAATCTTATCTAGTAGGCCATTCTATGCAATCTGTGCAAGTTTGTAGAGACATGGGCAATTTTTTTGGTACCTTTAAAACACAGTGAAACAAAGCTTCACTCCTCCTGAAAACTTATTAATTAAAAGCAATTATCTATTGTGAACTAGCAGTCTTTTGGTATGTCATAGAGTAAAGCAAAGAAAGTGTGACAAGAGATCAGTTCTTGCTTATTTTACAAATATATCCTAAAATGACCTGACCAACCAGATATGTTGGTATCCCTAGCAACGATTAGAAAAATACTTGGATTGTAATGATATGTTAAACTGTTTTCTATAATTACTATCACACATGTTATCAATCTTGTAATCAATCAGCCTATTTAAATAGAGGTAAGAAGTCACTATGCTATTTTGTACCCTCATGTGCACAGCACTGAGCATGGACCAGTGAAACCAAAGGAGAGAGTTGCCTGAGGAGACCAGAAAGATAATTATAGACATATAAAAAATGGGGGAACCCAAGGTAGAAGTTGGATGGATCAACAAAACATGTCAAAATATAAACTAAACTATACAATAGTAAACACTTCCTGGCTTGTCAGCTGTTATTTCTGTGTTCTAAACGAATATGGAAGAAACAACAGGTTCCCACTTGACTACACATCAGCGATCATCTGATAAACCATAAGATCAAATAAATATTCTTCAAACAAACTGGCATAAAGTATATAAAAAAATCAATTTTTATTTCAAGAAAATGTGTAACCATGATTTACCAAATGTTGCACATTTGGTAAATCATGGTTATACATTTTCTAGAAATAAACTCTTTTTTTATGCTTCATGCCAGTTTTGTTTGAAGAATATTTATTTGATCGTATGGTTTCTCAGATGATCTCTGATGTGTAGTCAAGTGGGAACCTGTTGTTTCTTCCAAAGAAAATTATAGAGCAGCATTTCAAAGGGAAAGGCCATGAGACCATATCAAAGTTGCTTCATGATCCTGTGACTACAGTTGCAAATATTATTAATATGTTTAAGGTCCATGAGAGTATAGCCAACCCCCTTCCCGAATGGGCCTGCAATTGGAAAATTAACGCAAAGAGATACAAGATGAACTCCAAGGTCAAAGTACATCAGTGTCTAAACACACTATCTGTCGACTGATGAGTAACAGTGGGCTCACAGGAGGACTCTGCTGTAAAAAGAACAGCCATAAAAAAGCCAGAGTGTAATTTACTAAAATGCATATTGACAAGCCACAGTTTTTCTCTGCGAATGCCCTTTGGACAGATGAAACGAAACTGGAGCTTTTTGGCAAATCACATTAGCACTATATGGAGCTTTTAAAAAAAAAAAAAAAAACATACCTAAGATAACAAATAAAGGAGGCTTGGTTACGATTTTGGGTTTGGCTAGCTGTGTCTGGAACATTGTGCCTTGAATCTGTGCAGAGCACAAAAAAATCTCAAGATTATCAAGGAATTCTGAAGCAAAATGTACTGCCCAGTGCCAGAAAGCTCTGTTTCAGTCTGAGGTCATGGTCTTCCACAACCCAAAACACGCATCTAAAAGCACACAAGAATATCTAAAAATAAAAAAATTGGACTATTTTGAAGTGGCCTTCTATGAACCATGATCTGCATCCTATTGAACATCTAAGAAAAGAGCTGAACCATGCAGTCTGGAGACTGCTGGAGCAGTTTCCTCCAGAAGAGGGGGCCAAACCTCTTGTTCGCAGGTACAGAAGTCTTACCAAGATCTTCAGAAATCACTTGTTTGCAGGAATTGCCTATAAAGGTTTTGCAACAAAATAATAAGTTAAGGGCCCCAACAAATTTGTCCATGCTATTTTCATTTGTCTTATCAGTTAAAATATTCTGTTAAACCAAAAATGAAAAGCAAGGTCTACATTTTATTAAAAATGGAATAAACAAAGCTGGATATCAATGACTTTTGTCAGTTTCAAGTTATTTTACAGTTCTTTTTTCTTGAAGAAGTACCAACAAATTTGTCCATGGCTGTATGTAAAAGTAGCCTTTTGCTTGGGTATTAATTCCATTATTTGTAGCCCCAAACACCATAACCACTGCAGCCACACCTTGTAGCTGCTCTGTTACATAGTCACTGTGTATTTCTGCTACAGTGCCTGGAATGTCATGGTAGTTTTCTCTTTTACTTGTATAATCTGCATTTTCCATTCTTTTCTAGGCATTTGTACAAATACAAAAAAAATGTACATAATTTTTATTAAAAGAAGAGTGTCCACCTTCCACCTCAAGATGCCATTAAAAGGTTTTTTGATTGGATACTGTTTTTTAGAGCTTGCCAGAGAGGCCAGTTTTGGGTCAAAAAACAATCAAACACAAATCCTG